GGGGGGGTAGGGTTGGTTCGGGTGCAAACACCCACAAATGGCCGCAAAACTAAAAACACAACGGGGGAACACATACATCCCGAGAAAAATGGCCCTCCGAACGAGTTTGGTTGCATACCCCGAATTCAGCAAACGGATTGGATCCACAAAAACCGCATCTCAGCCGCTTCCAGAATCCTTGCAATGACGATGAATATTGACCGTTGCTATTGGTTGGAGTACCGGAGCTCATAAAACGATGCTCCATGGATCCCATGCTCGCTGCAACCGGGTTTTGAGGGTCCAAGCAGCGCCCAAAATCCGTTGACTGTTGGTTCCACATGATTATCAAGTTTCATAAAGGCCCACATGCTGAAACCAAGTAAACCCAACTAAAGCGGCCAACAACAGCTGGTTGTGGGGCCGTTCGCTTGAGTCTATCGCACCCTCCCCCATCCACTTCCCATCGCCTGAAAGCGGTCTGCACACATCGGCCCAAGGAACTCTCGAGGACTCATGGCTTCGCGCGAGTTCATTTACGTGCCATCCGAGATATGCCGCAGGCTACGCGCCCGCCTCAAAAAACGGGCCGTGCAAACCCTCAAAACTCGTAGTTCGGTGGGACCTCATTGGTCCAATCAGTGGCTCGTGCCAAGCTCACTGCTTCCAAGCTCCACACGCACAGGGGCCCTGGCCTGCTGCAAAATCTCCTTGCTGCCCACATTGGACGTCATCACCTGGGCCAAAAATCCCAGCAGCTCCAATGAGCTCCTTTGTCGGTTTTGTTGTGTCATTGCTTCTGCCTGCCTTCGGTGGCTTGCCACAAAGACTTTGGCCCTGCCGTTGAATGCTCCAAGCACCACAGATCCTCTTGCGAGACTTGGGAAAATCGCTGTCAGAGGCTGTCGAAAGTTGCTGGACCACTAGTGGTAAGGGCCTTGAAAGTTCCGGCACAAGACGGCGCATCCCAAGATTAATGTTGCTAGGCCAAGATGCGAAATGGGGCCATCGTCAACTGCTAAGGCCCCGCCCCCCCGCCAGTTAGCGCGCCCTCACGGGCGCATTCCTCAAACTTCCCCGGGCCGCCGGGCGATGATGCAATTGTTGAAGCTCACAGTCCGGCCCTGGCTCTGGCTCTGCGCGAGTCGACCCTTGAACCCCGCGAGCCTTTCTTTCAGGCAGACATCCGGGTTCTGCATTTGCGCTTGCCACACACAAGCCACCGGGGCCTTCAACCCCCATTAAAAGAATGGTTGACCCAATTAGATGATGACAATCCTTAGGTAAACAATGGTGTCAATGGTGGTAATCTTGACCCCATTGCTTTAATGGCGGTTTGAAGTCCAGGGCTGGCGGGTTGGGCGGCGCGATCTCGCAACGATGCTTACACCTCTGACGCGGTGTATGTATAATTCCGTGAAATTCCGTGTGACATGCAAAGCCGGCGCCGCCAAAACAAAAGCGGTAGCCTGCGTGCGAATTGAATTGCCCCCAATCGGAATCGCCGAAAAGAACGCGCCTTGCCATCGGTGAGGCGGCCATCCTCGAGCACCTGCAGAAGGAGGTTCAGTACCTGGCGATCTCCGAAAAATGGGGGCGGGGGGGGGCGGGACCCTTGCGGGGTTTGGCCGGAGAAAGCAAATGAGGATCACCATCGTCATTTTGAGCCTATGTTTAGACAAACTGTGAGTTGGAATCCCAAGTTGGCCTAAGGGAAACCTCAGATGCCCCGAAACCGAACCCAAGGCCAGCGACTTTTGTAGTTGAGTTCGGTTTCACCCAGGCGAAAGGAAGCGAAAGAGCCATGGCCATCGAGCCACTTGGTTGCGGCTTCCTTATGGTTTCCCCTTTTCATGTTCGCTGGATGAATAAACCCATCCTGCGGTGCGGAGCCACCCTCAAAAGTGAAGGATTCCCACCAGAAGAGGACCCCACCTGCAAAAAACCAGTCAGACCAGGGGTCTGCTCCTCCACGCTCCCCCCCCCAAAAAAAAACACACACACACACAAACAAGTCGCTTTCCACAAATTTGGACACCCCGCCCTTTCCGCCTCCGCATGGGCCTTTTCAATCTCATCCAGCACCACCACGCTGTAGGGTCGGCGCCTTGCCACGAGAATGTTTGTTTATTTTCCACAATATCCATTGAAGCCCCGCCCCCCAAACATATAAACACAAAACGGAGAATTGGGGGGGGATCTTTTCAAGAAGAACGCTGGGCGAGGAGCAGGGGAATCAAGCCTTAGAACAGTGACACCCAACACATTGCCAGCTTTTCTCCACGAAATGGAGGTGTCAGCCGATACTCGACCGCCGGGCCGGACGGCAGCGGTCAGCTGGCCGCTTCTGGGGTCGTTGTAGCCGACCTCGCCAATAAAACGTGGGCTTGATTTGGGTGACCCGTGGGTAACACATGAGTTCCTTTCAGATGCAAACGCGATAGTCATTTGATGCAAGCCGGAACCCGTTTAGACTACAACCCGTCCCCTGACTACGGATTCCACAACCGGGTGAATCATAGAGGGTGCCCCAAAGCGTGAAGGAGTCCGGGTGTCTGACCAAAGGCTGTCATTGTGGCCGAAGCACTCCTTTCAGTGACCCTCAGACCCTGGGCTGCCCGGCATAGCCCGGGGGCGCGCCGATGAGTCTCGACACGCTGTGGGCCTCCGAGAACTCGCTCATGTCCAGGCGGATCATGGCCTCCCGAACCGAAAATCAACCGCGGGAACGACTGCAAACCAACCATGATTCACAGCTGTGCATTTAGAATACATATGTATATATATATATATATGTACATATATATATATATGTAGTGAGAGATATGTATGTATGTATGTATGTATGTATGTATGTATGTATGTATGTATGTATGTATGTATGTATGTATGTATGTATGTATGTATGTATGTATGTATGTATGTATGTATGTATGTATGTATGTATGTATGTATGTATGTATGTATGTATGTATGTATGTATGTATGTATGTATGTATGTATGTATGTATGTATGTATGTATGTATGTATGTATGTATGTATGTATGTATGTATGTATGTATGTATGTATGTATGTATGTATGTATGTATGTATGTATGTATGTATGTATGTATGTATGTATGTATGTATGTATGTATGTATGTATGTATGTATGTATGGTATGTATGGTATGTATGGTATATGTATGGTATATGTATGTATGTATGTATGTATGTATGTATGTATGTATGTATGTATGTATGTATGTATGTATGTATGTATGTATGTATGTATGGTATGTATGGTATGTATGGTATGTATGGTATGTATGGTATGTATGGTATGTATGGTATGTATGGTATGTATGGTATGTATGGTATGTATGGTATGTATGGTATGTATGGTATGTATGGTATGTATGGTATGTATGGTATGTATGGTTGATCTGCATGCACTTCACATTATGTGCATGGGGTAGGTACAGGTGTATGACTACTTTGTGGCACAAATACGGCTGCAATACTCGGCCAAACCCGAGCCCAAACTGCCAAGCTGTCGGGGCAGGTTCTGCTACATTCAACGCAATACTTGTAAAACCAGTGGGAGCATTCAAGGAAAGCTTCATCATTCAAAGCCCTGAATCCAAACGAAACCTTGTAATCAATGTTTCATCTGGAAAAAAGGAAGCCCCGAGTAGACCTTCTCCCAGCAAGGCCGTACCCCTCGAGGTCTTTACATTTGCCCACATCCTCCGAGTCACACGTGTGTCAAAGCGAGTGAGTCGTTTTTAGGAGACCCCCCCCCCAAATTGTGGTTTTCCTGTTGGGTTCCCTTCAAACCACCCGCAGGGGTACCCACACAAGAAGACACCCCCAATGAGTGGGGGCCCGTGTGATTGGTCAGCATGTTGGGGACCACGCAGGTTTGCTCCGGACAGTATCTGCTTTCTCAAGGGACATGGGACTGCCTTCCATTCTTCGGGCACGGACTTGGTCAATCTTCTTTGTCCTCAAGAGGCCATCCCCATCCCCCAAATCGCCCCAACCCCCCCCCCCCCAACCCGCACCCCCCGTCAACACCCCACAAAAATGAGCGGCTCTGCACTTAGGATAAACAGCCTTCATGTCGGCGTAGTACTCTTGCGCCAGGACTCGACACAGCTCAGTCTTGCCGACACCTGGCGCATGCTTGGGCCCTTGGTTGCCCAGTGGAGTGGAGTGGAGTGGAGTGGAGGAGAGTGAGTGAGCGGGAGGGAGGGGAGGGGAGGGGAGGGAGGAGGAGGAGGGAGGAGGGAGGAGGGAGGGAGGGCGAGTGAGTGAGTGGAGTGAGTGGAGAGTGGAGGGAGTGAGTGGAGTGGAGGAGTGGAGGGAGTGGAGGGAGTGGAGTGGAGTGGAGGGAGTGGAGGGAGTGGAGGGAGTGGAGGGAGTGGAGGGAGTGGAGGGAGTGGAGGGAGTGGAGGGAGTGGAGGGAGTGGAGGGGAGGGAGGAAGGGAGGGAGGGGGAGGGAGGGAGGGAGGGAGGGAGGGAGGGAGGGAGGGAGTCAGTAAGAGGAAAAAAACAAGAGCTGGGAAACATTCGGAACCTTCTCCATGAACATCAGTCTTGTTTTGGTGGTACCCTTTGTGTTGGGGGGTTGAAATGAAATCAATAACGAAACCATTTAAGCACATCCTCGACTCGATTCGCAGCTTCGGACCTTCGACCTCGCCTGATGGGCCAGCGAAGAAGAAGGACGCGCTCGGTCGACTCTGACCTCGAGCCAGCCAGGGAAAGGGCTCTGTCTTTGGCTGAGGCTGCCCTTTTTGCGGATGCATTGGGAAACTGAAATGAAAAACCGCCATTTTGGGGGTTCCGGTTCGCGATTTTGACACAAATCACGTCTGGTCGACTTTTCTGACCCTGGGATCCTGTGAGCCTTGTCGAGAGGGGAATTCCGTTGGTATCGCAGAAAGCGCCTGGTATCCCTACTTCATTCACTAGGGAGGAGTCCGCCCTTTGTTCGCGTTTCTCCGGTGCCCCCAAATCGGTGTCTTCACACAGG